CCCCGCAGCCCACTGAGCCCCCGGCGGCCTTCGCCCTGCAGTTCTCCCGACCTCCACCAGAGCCCACTGCACTCTGCCTGCCTCAGCACTGGGGCTGGGGACAGCAGCGCTGGCCCGTCCGAGCCGCAATCCCCAGCCAGGTGCCGCCGCCGGAGTGGCGTCCAGTCGTTTCAACAGGGCCAAGGTCGGCGCGCCAGCCTCCTCCAGGCTTCCCCAGAGGCTCAAGCACCTCTATCAGATGCGCTGCCTAGAAGAGAGTGAGCTCCCCCTACCTTGAGGTGTCCAAGTAGAGTTGGGTACCATCAGGTGGGCTCTGGAAGACTGAAAGATCTCGTGGGGTGGGAGGTTGAACTAAATGACATTGAAAGGTCTCCCAGCTGTAAGATTCTGTGTACACCTACACTCTGCCCTCACCCCTTCACCGTGGAGGTTGTTCTCAATCCCCAGACGGCTCTCTGAGCTCCAGGCTTCTGACTTGGGGCATCAGTCTAATGCCACCAGCACAGCCACCTTCTGCTCATCTTTCTTCCAAAAGTCACCTCTAGGACTTGGCGCTGGGCCCTCAGCTCTTCAGCTGCCTTGCCTGACTTCTCTGTTCTGCCTGTCCCTCCATAACCATCACTCCCTGTGCACCTGCATTGGGCCTCCTCCAGGGGCACTGGAGATGGGTGTCCAAGGCCCTCACTGCCAAAGCTGATTCTACTTTTCTGTTGTCACCATGTAACACCCCCTCACCTACCAACTTTGCCCTTTTTAGTGTTAAGAAAGAGCTAGTTCTGAAGAACACACAACTACTCTTTCATCCAAGAGAGCTAGTTTTCCTTCAGGAAGCCCCCTAAGTGTTTCCAGGTCTCCACCTGCCCCCCACCCACAACCCCCAGGCCTCAAGACCTGAGACCCAGGCAGTTGAATTGCCCTGGTCTTTTTCATGTCACATCCTCCAGGCCACTGATGCTAGGCTCTGCTATTCATGATCTCCACCAGGCCAGTTCCAGAGACTCATAATGCTCTGTGAGGTTAAGGACCACATCTCTCATCTCTGTAACCCAGCATCTGATGCATAGTAGGTCCTCAGTATACCTTGGTTGAATGACTATGCGAACTGCAGGTTTCTTTTCTTCATGGCTCTCTATATCCGATTGGGCATCCACATACTACATGGTGCTTCCAACTTGGCTAAAGGGGAGGGCATTTTAGGGAAATGATTGACATGCCTCTGTACTTTGTCAAGTGCTGGTATAACAGTGCCCCCAAAGAGCAACAGCCACTTACTGTTTACCAAGTGCCAGCCATCTGACATGGCACTTTCCCCTTAGTCATCACTACCCTTTCAGGTAGTTTGAATTGTCCTCACTCTCCAGTGAAAGAATTGAGGTTGAGGCTGGGGGCTGTGGCTCAGTGGTAGAGCACTTGTCTAACATGTGCAAACCCTAGGTTCAATATCCAGCACAGAAAAGAGAGAGAGAGAGAAGTGGCAGAATCAGGATTCAAAGCAAGGTTCGTCTGACTCTGAAATCACTACACCACAACACAACCACACCTTTAACACATTATAGTTGCTCTTATCAAACTGAAATTCTCAGTACCAAATGCATGTTACTATTACTAGGACTATTTATGTTGACATCATTGGGAACCTTAGATGTGTGTGACTTTGGGTGTCTGTGTTGCTGGGGTCCAGGTGGCAAGGTGAGGGAGTTTGTGTCCAATAAGAAGCAAATGTGGCAACAGGTTTGTTCAGACCCTGGCCCTGCTATCTTTAGTCCCAAGAGGAGGCATATCGGTGCCAGCTAGCCCTCCTCACTGCACATCACCCTGAGTTCAGCTCAGATTGGATTAATGTTTAGGCTCCTACACCCCCCACCACTTGTATCTGCCCCTCTGTGGACTTGCCAGAATGGTCAATTTCTAGATACTGTGGGGTGAAGGGCAGTGGCAGTCTAGATAGACTAGATTATCCTGCAGTAAGAACTCCAAATGTCACTGACTTAAACCCCACAAAATTCCTATGGAAAATAGTATAGTGGTTCCTCAGAAAAATTAAACAGAACTGCCATATGACCCAGCAATCTTTGGGGTATTTATCCAAAAGAATCGACAACAGACTCTGAACAGATATTTGTGCACCAATGTTCATAGCAACACTGACTGTTCACAATAGCCAATAGAAACAACCTGAATGTCCATCAACAGATGAATGGATAAACAAAATGTAGTGTATACACTGAAATATTATTCAGCCTTAAAAAGAAAGGAAATTCTGACATATGCTACAACCTAAATGAACCTTGAAGATGTGCCAAGTAAAATAATCTACCCTCAGAAGGACAAATGATGTAGGATTTCACATACATGAGGTACCAAGAATAATTAACCTCAGGGAGACACAGTGGAATAATGGTTACCAGGAACTGGAGGGAGACAGGGATGGGGAGTTAGTGTTTAATGGGCACAGAGTTCCATTTTGGAAAGATGAAAAAACTCTGGAAATAGATGACAGTAACATTTGCATGATGATGTGATTGTATTGAATGCCACCAAACTGAAAAATGGTGAAAATGGTAAATTTTGTGTTATGTATATTTTACCAAAATAAAACAAACAGAGCACTGGGCATGGTGGCTCATGCCTGTAATTTCAGCAGCTCAGGAGGCTGAGGCAGGAGGATCACGGGTTCAAAGTCAGCCTCAGCAACCCTGTCTCAAAAAAGAGGCTGGGAATGTGGCTCAGTGGTTAATCACTCTTGAGTTCAATCTCTGGCCCAGTGGTTAAGTGCTGTTGGGTTTAATCTCTGGTACCTAAATAAATAAATAAGAATAAACACACACCAGAGCATAGTGCAACTGTAAATTTATGATGATAATCAGTAGGACTGGCATATGACTCAGTGGGCAAGGGCTTGCCTGCCATGCTTGAGACCCTAGGTTGATTCCCAGCACTAGGAAAAAAAAATCTATACGTTTCTTGTTCATTTCATATGTATCCTGCATATCTGCAGTGGGGTGGAGGTAGGAGGCTGGGTCCACTGAATATTCAGGGACCTGAGCAGTAGATAAGCTACCTTCTCATGGAGAGATCTGGAGGGTTTCACTTAGAAAATAGACATTTGTCACTTGGTGACTAGAACCAGTCATTTGGTTCCATTTAACTCCAAAG